ACTAAAAATCTATCACTGGTAAGTTGTGAAAATGATAGGTAGGTAGCAACATGGATAGGAATATAGGACAACAGGTTGTTAGTCACTCATGCAGGTAGATCAGCGGATAAACAGGCAGATCAGTAGTATATCTCATGCAAACTACTAGTCGTAGTAGACGGTAGGAGTACTTGCAAATGCGAAGTGATCAAGCACACAACACAGTCGAATTTAAGGCTGAGGCAGAAGTAGCTGCTTTGAACCGTCGTATGACACTGCTCGAAGAGGAACTCGAAAGGGCTGAAGAACGTCTGAAATTGGCAACTGACAAACTTGAAGAGGCGACACATACGGCTGATGAATCTGAGCGGTTAGCTACGCTTGATGAGATGATGAGAGAAGGGAAACGAGTAACGAGCACAAATCACCAATGAATTTTTATGCGCTTGGCTTGGCACAGTCGTATGGACGGCGGATAAACTGAAAATCATGTTCCGTCGCGGAAGATTCATGGACGATGGAATGATGCTTTGTTTTGTGAATGTGCTAACAAGCAGCACAGATCACGAGACCAACAACACAAGTAGTGTACCTATCGTCAGTGAGAAAGTGGAATCGCTTGATCGCTTCTACCTCAAGGCATACACTCTATCTAATTCTTGTGTCTTGAACACTACTCTCAATCATCTTCTGTCACTCAATTGAGTCATAACCAATACCCGATGTGTTCTGAAGTCCACAAATATGAGAGCACCACAAATACTATCAGCACCCAAAAAGCTTGGTAAATTCATGTAGCTTGCTTCATTTGTATCGTCCATTCGTTCGTCGTCACCTCAGTATGTTTGCATCCGGCGAAGTTCTGTGTTTTGTCCTGCTTACATTCGGCAATACTTCAATTTCAGCAAAAAATTGAAACTTTCACAAACGGATTCTTAATTTCAAAATCAATCCAACTTTGTAAATCCAACTTTTTTCGGATAAACGACCAAAAATACCCACGAAACAGTTTTGCTCTGCTACCGAAGATAGTTGAGATCTAAATGGCATTAAGTCATTGGATGCAAATATTCTCAAGTCGCCGTCGTTATCGTCCATATCACGCAAGCATCGCGAGTTTCTTCGTTGTCGTGTTTTGGTCATGCAAAGAGTCAGAATGCTATGTGCCATACAGAGATGATAATGGTTGGGCTAAAGACACGACACAAAACGAACAAACAGCTGTGGACATCGGATCACATACATAATATGCTGACTAATTCAATTAGCTTTAGTAAGAGAAAGGAATTTTATAATCTCATTTGCTTGGGCTTTCACCAGCTACCAGTTTCAAGTCAGTGCCGAACGCCTGCTGACGCTTTGCTGCTGTTTCTAACGTTACAGAATATCGCTTAATCTGAATGAAACGTTATGTGAGCTTCACTGAGCGAGTCCATCATGAAATGCAATAAAACTGATCAAACAAAGCAAAAAATAAAGAAATCAACCAATGAATTGACCTACTCGAAATATAAACTAACCAAGTCACACCTAAAATCTCAACGATATGATGCTTGTCACATGAACGTTTCAGTTCTTTTCACAAGAAACTTCTTCTGCTTTTTTGTTCACTCGTCCGTGTTCAAGCAATTTGCTAAGGAAATAGCCAAAACTAAGTTATCATTTGAAATGCTGAATGTAAGGTATGCTTAATGTGTGATGTTTGTGCAATGTACAGTGCTCGTAAATCGATGGAAACACGCTCACAACAGGATGAGGAACGTGCCAACATACTTGAGGTTCAAGTTGAAGAGGCGAAAGTGATCGCTGAAGAGGCCGATCGCAAATACGAAGAGGTTACGTGCTTGTTTCAATATCCGTTCCTTGTTGTTTGCTCTTTCAATTCGTTTCGTTTCAATTCATGTGCCTTCGTTTTCGTCGTTTCGTAATTGCTTTCATAACATTATCGTGATTGTATTGGTATCGTTGTGGCGTTTTATCACTATTATTTTATCATCATTATTCTTATCAAATTGCTATCTGTGATCAGTTGCATCATCATCGGTATCATGATCACCATCTCGCAAATACCATTCTTCACGGAGATATTTCTCAAGAAATTTCTAAATTCACATGGATATTCATTAATCAGCGAAAAAAATTCCAAATGATTACTTGGAAATTTACGCGATGATCCATTGGATAATGGTTATCGGCTTAAAAAATTCGTTTGAGCAAACCAAATCGTTACAACAGATCGAGTACATGATCAGTTTCTGAGTGATTTCTTATATTTGAGCAACAGTTAGATTAGTCACCCAAACCAACCACAACTCCTCACATGATCATAATTTTCTAATCCAATAATGAATTCACAATATTGTTGCTCAGATTGCAGTCGCAAGGCCACATGAAAACTTGAATTCTTTTCCAAAGAACCGGTTCACGCCGAAAGTAACGATTCATCGTTTTTGGGCGAATCGACGACGAGGATCGTCAAAATGAAACATCCATTCAATTCATCCATCTATTCATTTCAACAATAACTAATTGAAAATNAATACCCTATTATTAGAGATATGAAAGGTTTGAGGTGCCATTTTTCGATGGTTTATTCAAGGATGCACACGTTTAAGTTTATGTGAGAAGACTTTCGCATATGTGATAATTAGTGTTGAGGAATTGGAATTCCAATCATCTCAATGGGATGCGTATTCAACCTCAAATATCTAAATCAAATTTCTTTCGTAGTTCCCTCAAAAGCATTCAATTTGAAGATATCAGGGCACCACAAAGCAATAAATCGATTCCGAATCCTAAAAAATGATCACAAAGCATATCTACATACTCTACTAATTTGCTTCAGTTAAGTTTCGGTTAGGAATACTTGAATAAAATTCAGTCGCCACAGGTACTTTTAGCAAGCCGCTCAAGAAAGAGATCACTCAGCAGATCATTCTCGTCATATAATAAGTTTGACATTGGATCAATCCCATAATTTATCCTCTCACCAAAATTTCAGTCTAATTTATACCCAGTTGATGGTGGATTTCTTATTTTTACGAGAAGCTCCTTTAAAAAACTACGCAATTTTGTTGAATACACGAAATTTTTCATTTTTGAATAATGTTTTGTCTACGTTCATATATGTTTCTTATAGTTTTTGTTTATGAATCATCATTAT